ATAGATGTTTTAAAGAAGGCTAAGAGTTATGCCTTAATGATGGATGTTTTAAAGAAGGCTAACACTTAGGCCTTAATGGTTAGTGAAATCGTTTCCCACTGTAATCCTCGAAATTTACCAGGGTCCACTACCCAGAGACCATCAGAGCTTTCATACAGTGGTGCGAGAGCCATACTTTAGAAGACGTTGGAAGCTTTGTCACGTAATATATCTAGAGCTAACAGTGGGTACAGTGCAGACAACCTTCATTGTAGAGATGGCACAATGTTAAAAATATTTTTTTCTTAAATCTGAGACAGCTTAACACAATGGGCAGACAAAGACAGTAGTCATTTTGTGGCACATTACAAGAAAAAAAAAAACATTGGAATATATCGTGGTAATGATAATTTTTAATATAATGTTTATTGTATTTTTCCATTTTAAGACCGTAGTTGGTTTGATTCTTCTTCTTCTTCTTCTTTTTCTTCTTTGCGTTCGGTTTCGTAATGCTGAGGTCAGACCATTAGGTGGGTTGCCTCTATGAACTCGCATGTCAGCAGCAGGTCCTTCATGGTTTCCCCATAGCTTGATTAACAACTCAAAGATGTCAATGAACAGGCACAAATGCCAGAAACCCAGCTCAGCTGTTTAGCAGTTTAGCACAGTAACATCGGGGCACTGAAGGTCGTGGGCTTGGTCTTGATGGAGCCAGACTTGATGAAGCCAGACTTGATGAAGCCAGACTTGATGAAGCCAGACTTGATGGAGCCAGACTTGATGAAGCCAGACTTGATGAAGCCAGACTTGATGAAGCCAGACTTGATGAAGCCAGACTTGATGAAGCCAGACTTGATGAAGCCAGACTTGATGAAGCCAGACTTGATGAAGCCAGACTTGATGAAGCCAGACTTGATGAAACCAGACTTGATGGAGCCAGACTCGATGAAGCCAGACTTGGTGAAGGCAGACTTGATGGAGCCAGACTTTTTCTTCTTAAAAAATGACCCTGACTCTCAGGTTTACCCAGCCTTGAGTGGGCACCATGTGTAGTCCTGGGAAGTAAAGGAGGTCGGCGTGATGCTGACTATATCACCCACCAAGTGCCGGTTAGTCTAAACAATATAGCTCTAAGCCTACATGCCCGATACGCCTGGAGACGTGGAAGATACGCCTGGAGACGTGGAAGATACGCCTGGAGACGTGGAAGATACGCCTGGAGACGTGGAAGATACGCCTGGAGACGTGGAAGATACGCCTGGAGACGTGGAAGATACGCTCAGGAGACGTGGAAGATAGTCCTGGAGACGTGGAAGGTACGCCCCACCACGTGGAAGATACGCCTGGAGACGTGGGAGATACGCCTGGAGACGTGGAAGATACGCCTGGAGACGTGGAAGATACCCCTGGAGATGTGGAAGAAACGCCTGGAGACGTGGAAGATACGCCTGGAGACGTGGAAGATACGCCTGGAGACGTGGAAGATACGTCTGGAGACGTGGAAAGAATTCTTTTTACACTGGGGCACTACAAAACGTTTACATAGTAACCCTTAGTTCAGTTTGGATGGGTTGTAGCAACAGTAAATATACACGGGAAAGGATAGGAGGTTTGAGGTTTGAACAGCGGATCAACATCATGGTGCACGGTGAGTAACCCATAAGTGCTTCTTTCTTCTTCTAACTCAAGTCTGAGTCCGATGAATCTCAGCACATTGCACAGGCTATGTAGCACCGGCGAGGATCCTGGAATGCATTGAGTAGATATTAAACTCTAAATTTTTGCCTGGGTAGCGCCGTTAGGCTATTCTTTTTCGATTTCCAACTGCCAAGGAATTTTTTACGCGCACAACAATGCACACGGGCGTCCGATCTCACTACCCAGAGACCAGGGGAATTACTAGAAGTCCAAGTCAACGTGAAGAAAATTCCAGCCCTTTCGGGGATTGAACCTTGAACGTCTAGCACTCAATGCGGACATCATGCCTAGAGACCACGCAGCCCCGTTGGGAAAAGATATAGTGAGAGACAATGTATGAGGATTTTTGACAATCTTTTTTTTTCCGCAACGTGGAATGGTCTCTGCACACTCACTGCTACATGCTATACGAATTCTAGCCGGTCAACTACAAATTTGCTAACGGTAACTCAATATACAAATGATGTGGTATATTCGTATTCTTTTTCTTCTTCGCGTTCACCAGCTGTAAACTCTGGCGGAAAGTTCTGGTTGTTCGTCCACTTCTGGACTGCAGTGGTATTCCAAAACCTGAGCGTTGCATGTGCATCCGTTTTACAGATCTAACTCATTTGCATGCAGATTGCTGGTTTCTTGCCTGTCAGGCAAATGCAATCCGACTTCGAAGGAAGCTCTCAATTAGTCGACTCTTACGACATGCTTTGGGTAGGTAGTGGGTCTATTCTTGTTTTCTCCACAATAGGGCCCCGGAACCCACACGGGGAGATTATTGAAGGTTATACTGGGGTGGTAAGAGAGATAAACGAAGATTATGGATGGCCTTTTGTCACGCCTGTTTAGGAATCTCCAGACTGCAGGAATATTTATTCTTGATTCGTTCCGTTTTTCCTTTACAAATTAAAAGGCCACTTGGCTGCAAGCTTGTATTAGAAAATTCCTTTGCTGAGACACACATAAACTTAATTAAAGGGAGGTCAAGTTGTCATCTATTTCTTTAGCTTGTTGAATTCCCCCAGGAGGCATATTTCACATTAATTTATTCTCATTAATACATTATAAGTATTAAACTATCTAAACACAGACCTGATACAATATTATATGAAAATCGATAGACAGAAAATGGAATCAAAAGCTATTGCGATTCAACTCAAGTTGAAGTAGAAGAAGATAATGCAGTAAATCGTCTTCCCTAATTTTCACATCTGCTGTTAAGCGACATGGCGGGGGACACTTTCAAATCCAGTGTGTGGTGAGCAGCAATAGCTAGTGTCATTCTATGTCGATTTGAGTTGAAAAAATAAGTTAAGGACCCCTTTCCACGCCTTTAGGCGTATCTGGCATATAGGGCTAGACCTACATTTCTATAGACCAATCGGCACAAGATGCTGGATGTGGTCAGCATCCCGCCGGCCGCCTCTACTTCCCGGGACTGCACCCGGTACCCACTCAAGGCTGGGTCGACCTGGGAGCCAAAGTAAAGTAAAAGTAATTATCCTTTTTCACGCCTTTATGCGCATCGGGCATATGGGAAGAACACCTATATTTTTAAAAACCAATCGGCACTAGTTGGGCAATGTGGTCAGCATTCCGCTAGCCGACTTTACTTCCCCAGGACATACATTCAGGGAGCCAAAGTCATTTTTTTAAAATGTCCGGCTCCTCCAGGAAGCGAACCCATGACCTTTCGGTCCGCGGACGCGGACGCTCCGCCACGCGGACTCCCTTTGTCGATTTAGAACCTCCCTAATGTCATCAGTTTATTCTCTCTTAGGGCGAATTTTTGTTTTCTTATCAGATCTTGTCATGTGGCCAACACTATGCTATCAGTGCCAGACATGGACATTTACATCCTCCAATGAACGTAAAATTGATACAATAGAGATAAAATGCTTTAGAAGAGCTGCAGGAATTTCAAGGAAAGACAGAATACGAAATCATGAAATCAGACGAATACTAGGAATAGAGCCAGTCTTACACGTCGTGAAAGAACAAAGAATGAAGTGGGTTGGACACCTAACAAGAATGCTCTGGTACTATATGTCAAAGCGAGCCTTACTAAAACGTTACAGCAGGTATAGAGCAAGCGAAAGACCTCGGGGAAAAAATGGAGTTATGGCATTAAGAAGAAGCGCCTGCTTTGATAGTTCATCCAGCTGTATTCTTTCTAGATAATACGATCATTTGATTTTCTGCGTTTCAGTGAATCAGCTGCATGTTGTTGTTTCTACAGCCTGTCTGATAATATCATTTCTGTGTCTCGGATGGTTATGATGGCGGTAAAAAATCATTAACACTAATCCCAAGTAGCTGAAAGCGGCGTCCGTGGCTTAGGCGTTGCGAGTCCGACTCTTTCTAACGAACCGCGATCGAAACCCACTGCTGGCTGCATGGATTTTTATCATGGTACAGGGCGTCGCTGGTCGTCCCAGCCCAAAGTAGGTCCCAGGATATAATGACCCGGGGAAGTAAAGACGGCGGGCGTAATGCTGACCACATTACCCACCTAGTGCCGATTAGTCTGTAACAATATGGAAGCTCTTCCCATATGCCCGATGAGCCTAAAAGCATGAAATGGGATATTAACTTTTTTTTTAACTTATTACGTCTTGGTTAAAGCGCCATGTAGTCGTTAGTTTATAATATCACTGCTGTATACAGGTGTTTGTGTAACTAATCTAAGCTATAATGGTAATAACTATTGAAGAATTGTTGGTTGATCATGTATTCCTTAAGGGTGGCATTTATTCAAATATGATTGTTTAACAATTTATTATGTAATTTACTGATACTCAAGTGACTGATCCTAATACTGTTAGTAATTTAACCAGTAGAATGGATTGTGAACAGAGCTGTAATGTGGAAATGACTTTTTAAAAAAGAGACACCCTTTAACAGTATACGTTGCACTAACTTCGTAGACAATGATTACACAAATAGGAACTCGTCATCATCATCATCATCATCATCATCATCTTCTTCTTCTTCTCCTTCTTCTTCTTCTTCGTCTTCTCCTCCTTCTTCTTTCGTTCGCCAGAAATAAGTTGTCTATATCAGCAGTTTTGTCTCTTGTAAATTTCACTGTTGTTGTTAATTCGTTCAGTCGACCATGGAGTTTACGTTCCACTGTTGTTCTTTCTGGCCAAAAAGTTTGCCTCAGTGTGTCATCATCATCAATAACATATCATCATCATCCTCTACTTAGTCTGCCTTCGCCCTGGAGGAGCTAGCACCCCGTCCCCTCTCCGCCTATATAATCCACATCATTGAATCCACACGAGGAACGACATAACTAACACGAAGCATGACTTTCCACAGGAAGCGGAATGACCTCATCGAAGGAAGACCCCAAACCCAAAACGAGTGTCCCTAGACACCCCACGGGGATTGAAGGCGAGGACACCAACGACTGCGTCAAGTGGTGCTTCACTGAACTCGACCCGGATGCTCTCAGTTTAAACTACGGATGGCCTTCGGATTTTGTCACCTCACAGGTAATAGCTCAAATTGTGTTTGTTGGGTGATGTGGTCAGCATCATGACTGCTACCTTTATTTCCCATGACTTTACCTGGTACCCATTTAAGGCTGGGTCGACCTGGGAGTAAAATATATTATTTTATATTTATATTTTCCTTCTTGTGTCTTCTCATTGATACCAGGTTGTAGCCGAGTGTCGTGGTTCTGTCATTGATACCAGGTTGTAGCCCAGTATCGTGGTTTTGTCGTCTCATTGATACCAGGTTGTAGCCCAGTATCGTGGTTTTGCCGTCTCATTGATACCAGGTTGTAGCCCAGTATCGTGGTTTTGTCGTCTCATTGATACCAGGTTGTAGCCCAGTGTCGTGGTTTTGTCGTCTCATTGATACCAGGTTGTAGCCCAGTATCGTGGTTTTGTCGTCTCATTGATACCAGGTTGTAGCCCAGTATCGTGGTTTTGTCGTCTCATTGATACCAGGTTGTAGCTGAGAGTCATGGTTTTGTCGTCTCATTGATACCAGGTTGTAGCCGAGTGTCGGGGTTCTGTCGTCTCATTGATACCAGGTTGTAGCCGAGTGTCGGGGTTCTGTCGTCTCACTGATACCAGGTTGAAGCCGAGTGTCGGGGTTCTGTCGTCTCACTGATACCAGGTTGTAGCCGAGTGTCGTGGTAGGTGGCCAGTAAACGACTTCGTCGTCGGTCGGGACCATAGTTAGGTCTGTCTCCTTTGATCGCGTCAACACTGCAGGAGTCATTTCCATGGCTCTTGGTGGTGTGCAGTGCTGAGCAATTTAAAATAGCGCAAATAACATGTCACAATTATAACTAAAAACTCCTCTTCCAGGGATGCTTGCTAAACGCGACGACCCCACCCCCCACCCCCCCCCCAACAAAACAAGAAAGGAAAGCTTCCTAGATGTTCGAATTTTCGTACTTTTGTATATCTATTAATGTAGTACAGGCTACACACACTTGGAGTTATAAACTGGAAAGAGAAAGCTAAAAGCATAAATGAATGAAAGTGGGTGATATCTGCAACCCCTAGAAGCTAAGAATGCTAAAGATGTCTGTTAGTCGTTAGTCGAGGATCAAAAAATGACTGCAGACGGGTTTACCCTCGCTGCTTCAATCCTCTGCCAGTGGAGATCACATAAGATGTATATTCTTCTTCTCCTCGTCCTCTTTCGCCATTTAACTCAGCGAGGTGTTGGGGGAGATGTAAGGATTGTTTATGCGCTTTTTCTAATGCATTGTGCAAGATGGTGTTTATTTCTGTTGGTTGCTCCTTATGATGTCGATTCCATCTCTTGCGTGGTCTTCCCTTTGCTTTGTGTTCATTATATTTCTTCAGCATGGCTCTCTGTGGCAGTTGGTACCAGGGCATTCTCGTCAGGTGGCCAAACCATCTCATTTGTTGTTTTTTAAAGAACTGTAAGACTGGTTGCAATCCTAGTCTTCTTCTAATTTCTTCATTCCTGATTGTATCTCTTCCTGTTACACCGCACGGATACACAAACCAAATTCTGTCCTCAAGACTCGCTTTATCGCCTTTATAGATAGGTACGATGTGTCGTATTCAGACTAAGGACAGGGCACAACAGACTTCGTCAGCATATGTTCTGCATTTTCCTTGTAGGAAACAGGGGGGTGTGTCCATGCAGCGTTACACCATAAAATGCCGAGCATGTGCTCCAACACTATGAACTGTATACTGTCAACAGAGACACAATCTGGCCTGTTCCAACCACTGTGAACTACGGTACACGAGGAGATATGGACTGTACGCTAGCTTTCATAAGGGCTACCCGCCTTCTGATATAAGTTTTGTGACAGAAGTATCGAAGAAGATGACACAAAATTTCCTTCGCTGTCATGTCCTATTGGAAAACTAGTGAACATCTTTTCAGTCCCAGCAAAATCTTGAATCTTGCAGACGCAAAGTAAACATGTACACGACAGCCTCTTCAAGAAGATGAAGAAAATGAGGGGGTAAATAAGATATAGGAATAGGAAAAGGAGAATAGAGAAAGAGAATACGGTCCAGAGCACCACTGACCAAGCAACAAATGATTTGAGTCTGTGAAAACAGCGTCTAAAACAGTTTCCGAGTAAACACTGTAATGGCGTCTAAAACAGTTTCCGAGTAAACACTGTAATGGCGTCTAAAAGGCCATACTTGTTGCCGTTTAACAGTCGTTAATTCAACCGGCGCGTGAGAGGGAAAACCAATCTTCCCACGACGCTTAACGGCGGGGCAGGAACCAGTAAATATCCGAAACAGATGCATCAATTCACACACGACGTGGTAGACAAGACAAGACAAGACAAGTATGTAATGTGGTTAAATCACACTTTGTGATTCTAAGAACAGCACACGAAGAAAAGCCCGGGTTTGAGAGGGGGAGGATGACCAAGACCTATTTCAATTTGCCGTGGCTAGATGGCTAAGTATTTCTTTAGTGAATAATAATAATAATAATAATAATAATAATAATAATAATAATAATAATAATAATAATAATAATAATAATAATAATAACAGTTAGTTGCGTGTCCTTTACAGGGCGTTGTAGAACCACCCCGGAACTATTATTATTAATATTATCATCATCTACTATTATCATTCCTCTTTTTTCGTACTCACCCTTGCAAGTTCGATAGACTTGTTATGTTGCGGTTTACAGCTAGGCTTCCCTCCAGAAAAAGAAGCCACTGACAAGGAACGTATAAATACAAAAATAGCCCAGTTTCAAAACCTCACCAACAGTCGGGCAAGCAGCACAACGTGGAAATAATCATGATAGTGGGCGGTGACGACACGAGAAAGGAGAGACCGGTTAACAGCCATAACAAAGCGGAGGAGGCAAACACAGCACCCGACACAAGACCAGGTGTGACCCAACTGACGCGACAAAATCAATCACCTGTGGAATGACCAGAGAAGCCCAATGAACGCAAGCCAGCAACCCAAAAAGCTCTCCGGACTAAACATCTATCTCCATCTTTGCCCGGCTCTTTATAGTAGTTGGCTAAACCAGATTGCGCGGAGACCGGGTGACGAACTCCTTGTGGTCTGGGTTCAATGCCAGGGGTAGGCAGGAAAGCCACATTTTCTCACAGATTTACGGTATTTACAATGGAATCAAGGCCGAAAGGTTGCGATATCCATAATACCGAGCCTAAGGGTTAACAACTCATGGCTTCTGGATACTACAACAAACAAACCTCCATCTTTCTACCTCACTGTAAGTCCTCAAAAGCGTTTCAGCTTTCATGCTGACCCTACCTACATTATTGTCCTCTATTTACTTCCGGTTAAAATGGACGCTAGACAGCGGCGCCGTTCGGAACAGGCAAATTTTTTGCTTCTGCCGGACGGTGGCCGATGCATTTTTGCTCCATTTGTAGACTGGATATAGTTTCGTCGCCCAGCTTCTGAGTTGAATGCATGGCGTGACCCTGTGAGCTGCGTATCGCATTTGGAATGTTTTTTTTTTTTTTTTTCGACTGTGACCAACGTGGTGGTGTGAATTGTAGATTCAGAAAATGGCGCGATGCCTGTCGTTCAATGCTTGCGGGACCCGTATTAAAATTGATCACGCGGACAACTGCTGATCTGTTGACGACAAGTTCTGCTATCATCAATGATGAACTGCATTTCTAATGTTGGACTGTTTGTGTTAGCACTTCGGATGGCTACCATAAATCTACCTAAAGTATTTCAAGATCCTCGCCGGTGCTACAGAGCCTGTGCACTGTGCTGAGCTTTTTTGGACTCAAACTTTAGTTAGAAAAAGAATGGGGTACTTATGGGTTCCTACTAGTGTGCTATGATGTTGAGTGTATGCTAGATATGCTGAGACAGCAGTCTGTCAATCTTTCCACAAGGGACTGTGATAGACATTCTGAGTGTTTTTCGCTGGCACAGGAGCGGAGCAAAGATGGGGCAACCCGTTTGCTATGAAGCTGAAACTAAGACTACCAGACTACCAGACAATTTTCCTCTATTTCTAAAGCCATAACTAAAAAGGTTGTTGCGTATCCTTTATATGACGTTGCAGAACCAACCCTAACAGCCCCTGGCTGTTGTGTGGTTTCTCTAGGCAAATTTACGTCCAGTAGTTTGCCATTGCTTCCTGGACGGTCGGCTTTCTTGATACCACTGTCGAAACCAACGCAAGGCGCATGGCCCGCAGCTGGGATCGAACCCGGCATCCCGGCATTACGAAGCGAAGTGTTCGCATCGACTTAGCCACAGAGCCGACTAAAGCCATAACTAGCAGGAAGAAAACCTCACTAAATAAATTAAGCCCCCAAAAGGGGAGGGGCACACCCATCCCCCAAAGTTCACGCACATTTGCATGTATGATAAGAAAAAAAAGAAAAGTTTAAAAAAAAAAGATGTTTAATATGGAACCCTGAAAATGGCCTTGTGTGTGTGTGTTTTAGCTCGATGGCAGTTTTTTTCTGGTTCGGGTCGGTGTGCCTGGTGGTAGCCCTGATTCCTGAAACCAAGCGTTACCATACGCAGCACACACACACACACACACAAAGAGATCTAAACATCAATCAAATGAATGAAATCAAGATAAAACCGCCGCTCATTCTAGGAGCTGGCTAAAATTGACAAAAATTATTATTGTTTTGTGTGTGTGTGTGTGTGTGTGTGTGTGTGTGTGTGTGTGTGTGTGTGTGTGTCTTATCCAGCATCCAGAATCCAGAAAACTGTTAAATCTTTAAAAATAGGGAATAAATGACCATCCCCCACCCACAACCACCACCAATACCAACACAAGCTAAAACAGGCCGTGCGATCGACTGCGGCACATATGAACTCTCGCCGTGTGGGCACATTCGTGATAAGTACCCAAAAAGCAAAACTTCTAATTAGTCGTCTTTTACCACATAGTTGTTAGGAGCAGTGGGTCTACCCCAACACCCCCCCCCCCCCACCCCCGCTCCTCCGAGGCCTCCTTAATGGGGGTCACATGAACCCACACCGGGAGAACAGAATTA